TACATTTAAATCCTGAATTCGCATTATCATCTGAATTTGCTGGAATTATTACCGTAATATCATATAACTTGTTACAATCAAGACAAGTCGCAAAAGTTTTTGATTTTTTCCTGATACCTAATAATTTCCTAGCCATATAGGCAGTTGAAGGGAATTCTTCAAATTGATGTGAATCAACATCTTTTAAAACGAGACTAAAGAAACTAATTAATGAGTTGATTGCAACATCAGGAAGTCTAAACCTTTCTTGATATTTAAATATCCAGATAAGGATCCATGAATCGCTTATATCCATATTCATAATAGGATCCTCCTGATTAGAATTATAATTAATATTAGCACCAGGAGTCGCAAATAACTCAATCAGAATCTCATCATCGTTAAAGAGTGGTTCATCATCATCTAATGCTAGTTCATCATCAACCGACCAAGAATCTTCTTCTTCACCAAATTCATCAGATAAACCAACTTGTTGCTCAGGTTCTTCGTCCGGAATGATAATGGTATTATCAACATCATGAAACTGATCATACCTTTGTCGCCTTTTTTTAGCAGGAACTTGCCTTCTTCATCAGATTTGTTTTTGATCACCATCAATCATCACATTATCTTCATGAAGATTTTGAGAAGAACCAACAACAATAGATTGAACTTTAGCCAAAGAACGAATCTTTGAACCGTGAGTATATACCGGTATTGGATTAGCTTCTCTTTCTTTACCTTTCTTCGTTTTAGAGATAGATGCTCAAAGCCTTTTTTCTTCCAATTCGTGATTTTGTCTTGTTCTTGTTTCGACCAGTTTACCATTGCATTTTATACAATTACATTGTACTTTTGGTTGAACTTTTGTAGATTTTGTTTCTGGTGCTGCTGATGCTATTGATGCTTCTTTATTTGATCCTTTTTTTATTGCTCGTTTAAACATTTTTAGAAATATAAAGAGATTAGAAAAGAAACTAGCAAAACAAATGATAAATGCGTATATAATATATATATAATCTTACCTATAGGAAATTAATTATAAGTAAAAAAGCTTAAACTTTAATCTGCTGATATTTAACTTCTTATTATGTTCTATACTAAAGCTTATCAATTTAATAGATATAAGCAAACTTTTGAAATAACTCAACAAGAAACTTTCTTTCCTCTTTACACTCAAATACACTCAAATAATTTCTTTAGCGACTTGTACTGTTCTTTATTACTCATGACTCGTCACTCTGCTAAAAGTAAGTTATTTTCTCGTTCGAGACAAAGCAAAGATAGTTCTCAATCAAGAAGCAAAAGAGATATGGATAGAAGTCGATCAAGAAGCATAAAAAGTACATCCAAGTGAAGTACAAAATATATCAAATGTAACCAGTAATATAATATAACAATAATATTATTCGCTTGCTTCGCTCATTGCATATAACTGAATATATTATTTCCATAATCATCGGCATAGGTCTCCATTATACAGTCAATCTGATTCTTCGGAATCTGATAGAGAATATTACGAGAGGCCACAGAATCACAAAAATAATAATAATAAAGCAGAGGAAAAGGAAGAAGGCAA